AGCCAAAGGTCACATATTTAAACCTTCAAATTAACCCTGCAAATTTATGAATATTATGCTGATTTTTGTTCCTTTAGCACCCTCAACATTTAGTTTTGCCCTGTAATTTATGATACCACGTTGCTATTCTGTTATCTTTACCTTATTATGTTAATCATCCATGTAAGGGTCTAAATTGCCAGTGCGCTGAAAATAAAGTCCTTCATTTATCTTTCAAATTATAACTGCATTATTTTTCAATGAATTGAGCCCATAGAGTAATAAATACTTCCTGATAGTTTTTAATACTTTTTGTTATAGCATGTTTATTAATATTTTTACCCCATCATGATGATTAATAAAATCCATTTCATATTTTGTATAATGTATATCTTAACTACATATGATAGGAAAAGGGATTAAGAAGTACTTATAAATATTACATAAACCAAAGGAACAATTGTGCTTTGGCACGGTGTGTTTTCTAAAAGCATCAGTAATGTATTATTTGATGGAGAGTTTTTAACATTTTTCATAGCTCGAGAGTGATTTGACCTTCGAGCATCTTTATTCTCCATCTGAATTTTGCTTCGTATGATTTGGCCACAATTTTCACCAAACAAAAACATTATAATGTTTGCTTATTTCCAAGTAGTGGCAGCCATGTAAATTGGACTTTCATAATTAATTTTATTCTTGGATTTCTTTTATAGTGAAGTCAAACATTAGATATATTAGATTATGTTTAATAATAATGTGTCCTACTTACAGATCTAATTTATTCCTACAAGTTACAGAAGTGATGTTCTGGTGTAGATAATTGCTTTAGTTTATTCAGTTCCTATTTGTATTCAGTTCCTATTTGCTTGATAGGTCCTTAATTTTTTTCATTGATAGTCCTTAAAGTGCTTCCACATAGATTTCCACATCAGAAGTGTGTACAAACCCTGCATTCAGCTTTTTAGATGGCATTATCTGCTTTTGGCTTCTTTAGATAGCTGGAACACTGATTCCTCATCTTGAGTTCAATCTGAAGCAGCTAAAACAGATTCTTTTTTTTTGTCATGTACGTAATGAAATAGTGGTTGCTTAACTTCCTGCATTTTCCCCCCCTCCCAGAAACTCAAAATTATGCTTTAATCTCTTTCTACTAAAGAAGTTAACTGGGCACAAAATAATGCAAAATTTAAAATCATAGCAGCTGTAAAATTATATAATTAGAGTAGAAATTTATATTTGATGTAACTTTTGCTCCCAGACTGTTAGGCTACTTGATATTTTAACAAATAGATTTTTTACTTAATTTTGGATTATTTTGAATTCGTAAACTTATTCTTCTTATATTTTTGTATGTTAAAATGGGGCACTATCAGCGGTTATTGAAAGAAATAAAAAAATTTATCTAATAGTTGTAGTCAGGGCTGTAGAGTCGGAATCAGAGTTGAGCAGATTTGGGGATAAAATGAGTCGGAGCTGGAGTCACCAAAAACATGCTGACTCAGATTCCAGTTTCTGTAGGACAGTTTGAATAGGAAATGAAAATAAAGTGAATTAAAACTCAGATTATGTTTAATTAATGATAAACTGAGTTATTTGTTTTATTTATGATCTATACACATTAATAAAACTGCTAGAAAATGAGATCCTGTTGGGTTCAGTATAAGTAGATCCAAATTAGAAAGGTAGAGAAAGACATCTATGAACTTTCATGAAGAATGAAATTATTCTTGAAACAGTCAGAGCATTGGTTCTCGACAAGGGGGAGGCAGTAAGAGGATCCTGAGGGTCGGTGAACTTGTTTTGGGTGATAAGGGGACAGTGAGCATGTTTTGGCATTCGAACTTAATTTTAAAACCCCCAAAAATTATTAAATCAATTAGCTGGTTTACACCATTTGTACCGGCAATAAAACGAACTTGGGGGCGACTACTCCTAACATTGATGAGTCGAATTTATATTCTAGGTAGGATGAATACAACACTACGGTCTTTCTGTGATCCCAATCAGCATTGGGCATGCATCAGGAATTAATTGCTGCATGTATATTGAGTGTCCTTTCAATATGAATTGGATTTGACTTGTGTTTCTTTTGTTGCTTTTCGGTCGTTTCATTTCTGCCAACAATATCGCTTGAAAATAATTGTAGTCTGTACAGTTCCATATATTTGAAGTTTGCATTTTTACTGCGCTGTCGAACTTACAGTTCTGAGAGTTTTGTTACAAAATTCTATGTGTTTACTTTGTAAAAACGTGTTATCTAATGAGGCTACCATCTTGTTTGCAGGAGCATGTGCAAAATATTCATCCTGACTGACAAATTAAAGATTTGTCTTTTTTGTGAACATCAGGGACATGTTCCCTAAAGCACCGTCTGTACCATTGGTGAAGAGTTGAAATGCCAGCTGTCGAGGAAGTTTTAGAAACGGTTTTACACCATGCAGCCACAACAAGTATCATAAGAAATATCGCATTAAGCAATGATACAGTGTGATGATAAATAGGTGAGATCGCTTGAAGATGTTGAAGCTTCCTTTGCAAACTTTTGAAACTCACTGAGTTTTCTCTTGAGGTTGATGAAACAACCTTGCCAAGTACTAATGAGACTTTATTGTTAGCGTACGTCCGGTTTGTGAAGGAAGGGAAAATTATTCAAGATATACTTTTTGCAAAACACTTTGATTGCAGATATTAAACGTGAATGTATTTTTAATACTGTCAAAGATTATTTTAAAGGCATAAAGATTCCTGTTGCGAACATTATGTCTGTTGCCACCCACCATTGGAGCTGCTGGTTGTCATCGTAGATTCATCATGTTTTTGAAGAAAGAGATACCAAGTATTTTAGCTGTTCACTGCATGATTCATAGGCAGCATTTAGTTGCAAAAAACCTCAGTGACTGTTTGCATTAGTCATTACAAAATGTCATCTCTGCTGTGAACAAAATTCGCAGTAATGCTCTCAATGATCGATTATCTGGTCAGCTGTGTAAGGACAACAATGAAGAATTCAATCGCTTGCTTTTACACACCAAGGTTCGCTGGCTCTCCACAGGTACCTGCCTCATTAAGTTCTGGAATCTTTTTACTATGTACTCTAGTTCCTCAAAGATAAAGGTGTTGCTCTGAAAGACAGATTACTACAATTTAAGATAGATGTTACTTACAGGAGCAATTTATTCACAAAATAATTAATTAAATCAAAAGTGGAATTAATTTGCAGCATCATGGCGAAGAGCTCAATTTAACCACAACAAAATCTCTTATGTCTGCCTTCCTAAAAAAAACTCAATTCGCGGAAGCAGAATTTTGGTTGCAACGAATTCAGCCAGTTTTCGATCTTGTTGGATCTGCAAAAGAGCACAGAAATACAAGTTAACACCTTGAGTCTTTGCACAAGGGTTTTTCTGAATGTTTTGAGAATATTTTGTTTCTGGAAATCCCTCAATGGATCTTGAACCCTTTTATGAATATTGAGAAAGCAGAGGTTAGGATTCATTAGGAACTAGTTGAACTTTCATCTAATGAATCTTTGAAAGCCAGCTTCCAGAATGGTGATCGTCTTACAAAATTTGGGCTTCAAAGTAGCTTTAGTGGCCTCTATCCAGGATTGTGGACTATCGTCAAAAAAATTTTAATTGCCTTACCTTCCTTCTATTTCTTCTTCTTGTCAAGCAAGTATTCATTATATGTGACTCATATAATTACAAAAAAAGAGAAATCTACCCCAAATCGTGGAATGAGAGACTTGCGCCTTCATTGCTCTAAAAATGTTGAACCGAATAATTCAGAAACTGGCTTTATAACATCAAGCATAAACATCCCACTGCTCGTACTTGATTTTTTTTGATTGATAGTTTGATATTACTCGAGTAGTGTATTTTTGCTCTTTTTTTTAATCATTTAATAAAGAATTTCTTTAAACATGAAATAGTGGTTTTTTTCTTTTCTTTTTTTTTTTTTTTTTAATTGGTCATTTCAGTTTTAACCAGAGAATTGTAATTACCTTCTTCGGCTAACTATCAGGTTAAACACATTTATTGTGCAAGTCTACTGAAAAAAATACTTAAAAATGTTTGGCTATTTGGCTTTTATAGTTCAGGAACCCCCACCCCTTCATACCTTAAATTACAGGATTTTCACATTGGGGCCGTTCAAAAAGTATTCATCCTTTAGGGGGTGGCAGATTTAAAAAGGTTGAGAATCACTGAGTTAGATATTCAAATCAGGACAGTCAGACTGCAGGCATTGCTGCTGAATCTCTAATCATCCTCTTCTGGTGATGAATTAGATTTTACGAAATATTTGGATAATACTGAAAAGGCTAAAGCAGAGTGAAAGAAAATAAAGAGCCAAGTGCCTTTTGATATAAAAATGAAAAATTTCAACCAAGATTTGTACACAGCCCTTGAAGAAATAAAGAAATATAATCACTATTGCAAGACACCTCTTTAGTACTTATAACAAATCCTGAAAAGTGAAAAGAAGTAGCCTTAACAGTAACATCTCTTCCTTCTGCTCAAGTTAGTGTGGAAAGACTCTTCTCAGCTCTGAAGTTCATCAAATTGGATCTGCGATCCTCTGTCAAAGAAGATCTTGCCGAAGCTATACCATTTCTTAGAAACTACTAATGCCAGTTTTTCCATTTTATAATGAATTTGAATTATTTTAAATTATCTGCTATGCCATCTTCCCTCCTTTTTTTCTCTGTAGCATCTATTACTTTTGTATTTAAAAGAAAAAAAAAAAGAAAGCTGTAACTATTGTGTATATGGTTGCATATATATGAGGGAGTTGAAGTCAGAGATGGTGTCTTTAAAATTCCAGGAATCAGAATCAGTTATTTTTCCTACCAACTCCACAAATGTTGAATTTTGTTTAATTTGCTTTAGAAAATACAGTGTTCGTAATGTTATCTCTTTCTGATGACTTCACAACAAAAAAAACAGACCTTTTAAGCACCCCATTTTATGTGCATTTTCAGTATTTTAAAAAATTATTTACTTTTTCTTCTTTTTTATCAGCTGAATCAGGTGTTAGTGCAAATTCTGTGACCAATTCTCAGGCTTCATCTCATCTCGTCCCTTGCCAGACTTCCCTTACTTTAGAACAACCTGGTGCTCAGCCTCCAGCCCAAATGTGTGCAGATGACCCACCTGTTCAGGCTGAAGATGGAGGAGTTTCAGACAGTAATGCCATGCAGTCTATGACCAAAATTTTGACTGGAAGGCGTAAGTTTGTTATACATTTTTATATTCACTGCAATAGTTAAATGTATTGTACATCATTTTGCATTATGCACTGAAGTACTTGATTTGATTAGTTATGCCACTTTATTGGTTGGAGGTGCCTTTGTGCAAAATTTTGAGCTTTAGTGCACCCTTGCCAGTCAAACGCAATTGTAAAATTTAAGTGAAATTAATTTTAAGATATTTTTCTTTATTTAAAATGTAGATTGTAGATGCACAGTGCATGTATAAAAGCAGAACATCTCAAAGTAATAATTTTTATTATGAAAAAATTCATAAGAGAATAATATTTTATAGTGTGTGTAAAATGACTCATTAAAGATTCTCCTAGTTTATCATGCCGTTTTAATTGTAGTAACTATAAAATTTTTTAGTGTGTATGTAAATTTGGGTGTGTATTATGTCTTGATACTATTGATAAGTTATTGTATTTTCTCGATACTTATATTAAATACTTACTCTTGTACAATATTAAAGTTTTTGAGATATTAATTGTAAATGATGTTTTTAAAAATTTTAACTTCTCCGGGGGGAAACTTCCATACCTTACAGATGTGAATGCAAGTCATGTTAATAAACACATATGACCATAGCTGAAAAAGTATCAGTTAATTAGTTTTTGTATAAATATTTTAAGAGATATGCACAGTATGTTTACAAAATTTTAGGATTTAATTCAGTCTGAAGGTAACAATTTTATGCATTTTTTCTGATGCTGTACACAGGGTTTCCACACTACCTGAAAAACTGAGAAAAAAGTCTGGAATTTCGCAGGGCTATCCCCACAAAACGTGATTTTTACTGCAACGCTGGACGCGATCACCTTCTTGGCGAATTAGTAGCTCGTGAGCATCATTTGGGCAGCTGATGTAGACCCAGTTTTCGCAGCTCCAATCAGATTGTATTTTAGAAAGAAAAAAAAAAAAAAAAATTCCAGCTACTTTAGTTTCCAGTTACCTCGAAAATTGAAAGATTCGCATGCTCATGTGCAGTGCGTGTTGAATGAAAAATACCTTCCCATTCCTGTATAAAACAAAATCGATTTAATCCTAGTATATGGTACACACGGATTCAGCAATATTCTGATAAGCAGTAAACCAGACATTTATGGTAAGCAGTAAATGAGTCATTTTGGTATTGGTGACAGTTTTCAAAATCGTGCCAAGGCCATATCATATACTAGTATTTTACCACAAAACCTTTCAAACCTTTTTTTTTTTTTTTAAAACTTCCTTGTATAAAATAAAAAGGAAGTATTATAACATGAAAAATTTCAGGCATCATATTTCAATGAAAATATCCAATTTCACTGCTATCGAATGCAATTTAATGATGTTTTTACGTGACATCTGTACGTAAGGACAGAATAAAAGACTGTTTTTCACCCTAAAAAATTCTAAAACTTATTTAAAATTAATTCTAAGGAGAATTTTTTGTGGCGTCTATGCGTACATAGGTACGTACATATCTTGCATAACTAAAAAACGAGTAGCCTCAGAACGTTGAAAATTTGTATGTACATGACTGTCATATCATGTAGATGTGCACCTCCTATTTTGGTTGCAATCGGCCGCAGCAAACGTATATATCTTCTCTGCTACTCGACTCATTGAGCTTAGTTTCTTTATTCTTATGTAACACAACCAATAACAAATATTATTCGTTATACTAAAAGTGAAGATCATGACTGTGATACTTGTATGGGTCTGACATCGTCGCAGTAAGGCCATGCCATTAATGGGTCAAATGCTAATGGTGCAAGCTAAAATATTTCACTAAGAAATGAATTTAAAACCTGAGTGCACATATTCGACAGGTTGGTTAAACAAATTTAAATTTGCCATGGTATAAGGCAATTAAGAATTTCAGATGAAAAAGCTTCAGCTGATACTGAAGCTGCAGATGAATTCATTGAACTCATCATTAGTTTAAAAGTTTTATCTAGAAGAAATTTACAGCACTGATGAAACTGGTCTTTTCTGGCAATATGTACTGCAAAATATCTTTGCATCCTCTATGGAAAAGTCTCCAACTCATGTCAAAGATTCCAAAGCTAGACTAGCAATTTTTGCATGCACAAATGCGGTAGGAACATGCAAGTGTTAACTTTTCGTAATTTGAAAGAAATGCACTACCTCAAGCATTTAAAGAAGTAAAGACTTTTCTGGTTATATATTGTTCAAAGAAAAGAACACGGATGACACAAGTGTTAATGAATGATTGGTTTGAAATTCATTTCATACATGAGGCTTGGCAGAATTCGATTGGTTTACCTGATAACTCAAAAATTGTCCTAATTGTAAACAACTGTTCGACTCATACTTCTTTAAACTTTAAAGATTCACATAAATAGGGAAAATAAGTGAAAGATAATGTATCCGTATTATTCTTTCCTCCAAATTGTACGTTATATGATATTTCTCCCGCCGTCTTATCGAGCCTTCATGGTGTAATGGTAGCACACTCAGTGCGTAATTGAGAGGTCCACGGTTCGATTCCCAGGTAAGGTATTTGCTCATTTTTCATCTTTCTAGCTTCCAAAAATTACCGAATGTCTCTACAGTGGTGCCTGAACTAAAAGGGTGTTGGATGATGATTCTCCTCACCCAGCATTTGGCAATTCTGTCCCTTAAAAACTCCAGTTTCCCTTTAAAAGGGGGAGTATATAAGATATTTCTCCCGCCTACTTATCAAGCTTTTGTGGTGTAGTAGTCTGCACACTCAGCACGTAATTGAGAGGTTCGTGGTTCGACTCCCGGCGGAGGCAGTTGCTCATTTTTCATCTTTCCTGCTCCCACAAATTACCTAATGTCCCTACAAGATCAATCATTCAACCTATGGATATCGGAATAGTGTGCACGCTGAAATGGAAATATAAAGTAGAATTTTTTAAATCCATGTTAAATATTTTAGCGTAAAATCTGCTTTGTGGGAGGATGTGTCTCAAGATACTTTAAAAAATGCTTTGCATAATTTATGGCCAGCTAGCATATTTTGTGGTGAGGTGTTGATGAATATGATGGCTGCGAATGTGAAAGTTTTCTGATATTGCAAAACAGAGGTTAAATTTCCCAATTAATAAATTTTTTAAAGAAATGTGGAGAAGCGGTAATAGATGAAGATGATATACCAGAAGTTTGTCATTGCAATGACATTGCCCCAGTTATCAATTAGTTAACGGACAACAGTATCTGTAGTATGTTTCTAGATCCAGAAAATACCACTACCAATAGCGAAGAAAGTGACAGACAGGTATTGGAAACAAAAAAGTTCTGATTGACAAGTTAGATGGAATTCTCGACACTGCGATTACAGAACTTTAACAATGGAACTTTTTAATTGAATAAGAGATTATGTCTGTCTACAGAATTAAAGAGATAATATTAACACAAAAAAGCAACTTAAACACCTTACATTTAAAGAAATGTTTAATAAAATAAATAAATGAATATTAACTGCCCCCTTTTTTGTTGTTGTGGCAAATTTTGTTACCCTTTAGATTCATAAATGCTTCATTATTTCATAAATCACATCTTCATATTTCTAATTTTATAATTTTTACATGCCATCTTACAAGCTTTAAACTGATGATCTAATATCCGGAAAAATCCGGAATCGCCGATGTCCCAATGAGTCTGGATCTCGGACTTTGTACTGTACTAAGAATGTTAAACACAATGCGAAGCACATCTAAAGAAAAAGTTAACCTGGAAATATCTCCAATCTTGCACTGAACTAACAACTCCCAACACCAGTAGCTAAACAACTGAGAGCAGATGCCCTCTCTCTCTCTCTCTTATGTAGTTTTAAATTGTCCGCCAATATATTTCTAGTACTTTCTACTTCTCAAAATTACTGGAAAGTGATATGAATGTCAAATTACGGTTGTAGCTAATATAATGATTAGTTGTGTTTATGCTATTACAATACTTATTACAGTCATGTGGGGACCAGACCAAAATGTCACCAATTTTGGCGACAAAATTGTCACCTGTATCTCGCCAAATTACCGAGATGCCCATTTACTTAATGTTAAATGGACTGCCCCCTGTATTCTTATTTTTCCGGCTTAGCTTTTCTCTGAAGAGTTTTTGCATTACATTATGCAGCAAAATACAATAATTTCATGTATAATTACTAAAATCCTCTATCTGTATACGAAATTCGTAACAGTATGAAACATAAATTCTGGCATGAGGTTTGCTGATGAAGGAGGTTCTTTTCTGAAAGAAATAATTGGAATCCTTGAAATACGTATTAAAAAGTGTGAACTTAGATTGAAATTGCAACCACCAGAGCACTGTGTCCAAAATTCTTACCAATGCAGTTGAATAAAATAATCGATGATTTACACATCTAATCACCTGTGCTTCATAATATTAAAGAGAACTATTTGGAAAAACTGCCAGCAGCCTTTAACTATTACATTCTCAAAAGATTGTGTGGAAAAATCCATCCATGGCAACTAATCTGTCCTCTTCACATATGGCCTGTCATTTTTTTTCCCATGACAGCATATGTTTGCATGTCTTAATAACTACTGATTCATTATAGAAATACAGATCTGAATAATTTTTTTGTGCATTTTGTAATTCAAATTTGAACCTTCTACGCTTTATTTTTCTCAGGTAGGAAAAATACACTCGAACAATTCTTTTATCTTGAAGACCTAACTAAAACTGAATCCAGTTTTTCAGAAAGCTTAAAAGCAAGATTCTGGTTAGAATTGTGATGTACCAAAAGATTGATATGATATTTCATGTTATAGATTGCAAAATTTAGGGTATATTACTTTTGAAATTATTTATATATATATGATTTATAAGAATAATGCAGTCGTCAATAGATTTAAGTCATTAATCATTACTTCAGGTTGAGTTTGCCTGTTGCCCAAAATAAACTAACAAGAATTATCTGATTTTCATTGATTGTGTTTTATATATAGTATAGTATTGTTTAATTGAATAGTGTTGCTGAAATTATTGCAGATTAGTCAAAGAATGTGGTTTATTTCCAGGTAAAGTGTATCATCCACATAAAGTGTGTTTATTTCAGCTAAGCTTATTATGCATTTATATTGATATGTGCAATCTGTAAAGTTAAAAGTTTATTTCTAGAACTTATTTTCCCTTATTATAATAAAGGTAAGTAAAGATTTTATTATCCTTCAAACTATATTTTAATGTATGTTGCAGATTCTTTAGCCACTCTGGCAACAGCAGCAATATCATCTGTTGGTCCACTCTCATCACCTGCAACAATAAAGAAAGATAATTTGACTGTCCTTAACAGTCAGAATGTACCTGCTAGTTCAGTTGATAACTCAGATAATATATCTGGCTTAAGTTTAAAAATGGATCTTACAAATATTAAACAGGTAAACGTTTCTTCTGTTATATGAATATACTTATAATAAAGTGAAAATTATGTGAATTCTGATGTGACATTCATTTTAATTAGTGTGCAGAATAGTATAATTTTGATCCATAATGAATGTATTTCGTAGGAACCAATAAAGACAGAAGAACATCCAAAAAAGGAAAACCAGTGGTATGATGTTGGTTTGTTCAAAGACAGTTCTGGAGTTGTGTCTCATTTTTATCTGCCAGAGCCTAGCGATAGGAAGGTTGCTGTGAGTTTGCTATTCTTTGTATGATTTGCTTCTTGAAAATTGATAATTTTAGTCTTTTACTTTTTCTTTAACTTTCTGAAGACGGCTGGTACAGCAGTTGTACCAGGAGAATGACTTTCTCAGATGCTGGCACTGGTACAACTGTCGTACCATCTATGCCATCCCCATTTTAGAGAATCGCCTATCTGTAGATCTTTGGGTGGTCCATTGTCGCTGCTCAGAGTAGCCGCTGGCTACGCATTATTTCCCTCTTCTTATCAGTTTAGGCTACATTTTGGCAAAACCGCAGGTTTCGTCGCGCCAATATACTTGAAAATTAAATAGAGGCCATCTCTTTCTCAATCTGTCTCATAATTTTAATGCTAATTTTTTTAGTACTGATTTGCTATGATTAAAACGTCAGCGATTTTGCACGCTCTTTAAGCTTACCATATTAATGTTCTTTAATCATAACAAATAAGAATAGATTAATATTTTAGATTTAATGCCCTTCTAGAAAATAGTAAAACCGTTTTTATCGTTTACTTCCTTTTCATACTTATGAATATAAGATTTTATTTTGACATTGTTTGTGGAGTGCATAAAAACCCTTAAAGAACTGTCAACTCTTTCAAAGTGCTTCTATTATGCAGGCAATTTTGTCTGATTATCAGGAGATAATAAGAGACAATTGTATGCATAATAGTTTTTCTGATTTTCAATTCATTCAGTGATTGCTTTCAATGATTTTCATTGATTGTAAATTAAATAAAATCAATTTATCTTTACACCCTCTTTTAGGATGAGATCTGCCAAAAAATATTTAAATATCAGTAAAGCTCACGTTACTTCTAAATTGAATCAAACATCAGTTACATTGTATAAAATTTGGCCAGTTTTATTTGCTGATACTCCTCAAGAGATAAAGGGAATTCAGATAAGTTAATAAAAAAATATCTTTAAAAAAGGTTGTTATTTTGTCTGTAATAAGGTGTATGTCAACTTACTATTAAATGTATGAAAATTAGGATTGGCTTACGGAAAAGCACGCAAACGCTATCTGCTTAAGGGAATGGATGCTTTCGTGTAAACCTTTTTAAGAGAAAATTGCTCGCATTTACGCTCCTGGTGGAAAACTCCACATGTAATCAACCCGTCTTCTGGGTTTGATTGGATTAATTTTGCTTACTGAATACATCAAAGCACACAACAATTACCTGTATAAGGGGAGTTATGCCTTCGCGGAGGACTTTCTAAGAGAAGCTGCCTTGCATTTACGTTACACAAAAACCATGAATCCAATTATTTAGCCGGGATTCAAAACCAAGCGAGCTACAAGTGTTCAGCCACCTTTACCGCTCTACTGAAGAGCCTGTAAAAATAGGATTAAAGGAAAAGTATTGAAATAACCGGTTTAATTTACTAACCTATATTTCTCAATCGACAGTACATAAATTACGCATATGAGGGGATTATTTGTGAATAAATAAACTGTATTGCACTTTTTCCACTATTTCATATTACATGGAATTATTGCATTTCAAAAGTTATTTCTCATGAATTAATTTTGCTCTTCATGATTTTTGATATTTTCAAAGAGAAAATTCCACACTTTAAAATAAAAATACACGAGAAGATACTTTATGCAAAATTTGGTTGGCGTAAACGGTTTTCTTAATTTGCTTTGAAAATATTCCAGGGTAATCGTTTTCATTACTGGAAGAAATATGAAAAACATTACTACATGGTAAGTGTCAACACCCAGTATGTCCTTATTCTTTTGAAAATGTGAAGATTACTCTTTCTAAAATAAATTAGAAAAATATTATGTGCAAATAGAATATTCGTTGAAAATGAAATAGACTTCAACCTTTGGATATAACGATGGTTTTAGACGAAATTTCTACCTATGAAAAGAAATTGACGTATAATTAATTCTTCATGAACATTTAAAACTGTTCTCAAAATTCTTTTGATGATTGCATGTATAGGTCATGGAATTTTTTTCTCTGCTAACATAAACAAAAGCCAATTTTTACAAAGAAAAATTCTCGTCGTTAAAGATATACCTTCTTTGCCTGATAGTCCAATGTAATATTTGTTAAAATTAATGATTAAACGCAACCAATGTATCTCGGATTTTATTTTTATATTATAATAACAAAATTATCGAAAAAGCAGATTTAAATCTCTGTTATTGTTATGTAAAGCTTTATTATTGCTGTAAGTTCATCTCAAAATCTAATTGTATTGAATCTCATTCTAATCATCTAATGGTAATAAATATTATTATTATTATTTCATTAAATTATTACCATTATTTTATTAATGAAAATATGTTATTAAAAATCGCATTCCGGCCTGAAGACTTACAATCTAGTCCTTTTACTATATTTTGTTAAATTTGTTCTCGCTTTCTAATTTCTAATACGAAAATACGCGAATATAATGAAGAGTGAAAACAAAGTTAAAAAATTCACAAATTATTTACGAGATTGATTAGAAATAGTGAGTGAAAATATAAACATTGCATACATTTGTTCTAAATAAATTGTGCACTGGATATGCATCCAGTACTGCATATTTATTTATGCACTATTTATTTAGAACTTCATTTAAATGAAAGCAAAATAATCATCGAAAAAATTGCAAATCTAGCAACCCCTCTACTATGGGACGTAAGCGTCCGGCAAACATGTAAATTTTACTTCATCCATGGAGGGGGACTTAACGACTTTTCTCATTAGGAAAATGTCAAAGAGGGGGCAAAACTGTTTCGGACCGCACCGGTCTGAAGGCTGTATTATGAGAATTTCGGCCCAGTTTTGGAAGGTTAAAATTTGTATTTCTAAAATATTCAGGTTAGTCGGATTTACTTGAGCTTTCCATTTAGTTCAATTAGGGTTTGTACGTCTTAGGTTTTTTGGAATTGATGTTTGGTCCTTAATGGATGCTTAATTTCAACCAAAATTGGCAGAGGGTCCTTAATTTTTAATCATCTGAAATTTCTATCTGTTTTTACAACTGCCATTTTGAGTGTGAATTAGCATTTTGGAGGAATATTTTTGGCGATTCTCTGACAAATATGGTTATCTTTTGAATAGGATATAATTTGTTCCTATTTCTAATATAAGTAAGTAGTGGAATACTCAAGTTTCTGGGTAAGAAATGAAACATAAGCATTTCGAAATTATTTCATTTTTTCTAATAAAGAGCTGTTGCACACCTTTTTGCTTTTGGGGATGTGAATTCTGTTATTAGATGTTCCCAAATTGGGCGACTTAAGATCAGTTCCTATAAAAAAAAATTTATTTGAAGATGTGGAAATTTTTTCGGCAATTTTTTTTAAACATTGTAACAGTGATAAAATTTATAATGTAATGGTAATGTATTGAAATTATATTTAAGAAATAACATTAAAATAAAGCATTTTGATTTTTTGCTGTCATCTTATAAAGTGGCATTACTTTCCATTTTGTCAACTTATTATACAATATTTTGAATGAAAAATAAGCAAAGTAATAAATGCTGTAAAGCACAATTTACAAAACATTTCTGAGCAAAAACAAAATAGCTATGTAATTAATTAAAAGTGTCTTCTTTTTAAATTTTTTCATGGGCAGATTTTTCCCATATAAGTGTCACTAAATATTCAGAGTTCTCAGAATTGGGTTGATTTATGGATAGGTTTGAAATATGAAGCGTTCTTCTGACTTGGTATCTCTATATTGTCAGAAAGACTGGAAAAAGTAGTGGCTAGCGATGGACAACTTTTTGAATAAAATATAATGTACTATTCTTTCGCAGTAAATACCCAACTTTTGGTACCAAAAAAAAAAAAAAAGGCAGAGACTTATTTGTACTCCAGATATCAATGCTTCTAACCCTAACACATGGACAGGCATTTATAGAAGGCAATTTTTCTATGAATAAAAGAAACTGAGATCTGACAATTTAAAAGATTAATTTTATGTGTTGATGCATTATACACAGGGCTGTCGCTAGGCATTTTTCCACATAATCTCTGTGGATCCTAAATTCAAGTACCTAGTACCTTCCTAAATTTTGCTCCCAGTGCCTAAGTCTGAAAGTTTTGCCATTTCTACATTTTACTGCTTGGTGTGTCACTTAATTCTAAAAATTCTGCCATGCTGGTTCTGTTTACTGGCCCTTACCATACTTTATTTCATATTTATTCTTTATGTTCACATTAGTAACGAAATAATATTATCAACTTTTTCTAAACATTCTAAATGCAAATTCAAAAGTGAAACAACAAAAATCAGCGTTATATTTACAAAACTTTCACAGGATTAGTTTCGATGGTTTTACCGAACCACAATCCTCAGCTGCAAAACCGCAAATTTTGCAAATTTGTTGTTTGACTTCTGAATTAGTATTTATTCGTCGTGTTATTGTGTCTTAATTCTAAATGCATTTAGTTTTTTAGAATAATAAAAATCTTTAATTAAATTAAAAAATTCTAGAATGAAGTGGAAATATATTGAAGAAAGAAACTGAATACATAAAGAGGGGAAAAAATTCTTCAAATATATTTATGTTTTACAAGTTATTATGTAAATTAGCCAGTTGTTTTACTATAAGTTCTTTCCATTTCCTCACCAGAATGCAAATCACTTAGTTTTTAAACTGAGGTTTAAATGTGTTACTGGCCTCCGCTTATACGCTGCATAAGATCCTGCCAGCTGTGATAATATATAATCATTAATCATTGCATTATTGCTGCTGGCATTTGAATTTGTTACGATGATAGAGTTACTAAGGCATCTTGGATTAAAATTAAATTGTGTAGTCTTTGACTGTTAGTCCACATTTTTAGTTTGAATTGGACTGTTCCTGTTTAATTACATCAACAAGAGCTGTAGTTTTTTTTTTTTTTTTTTTTTTTTTTTTTTTTTAACATAAGAACGTGCCTTTATTTTCCAAGTTCTGTTTATATAAAGAGGTTTATTTAAACCTTTAATCTGACTTTGTAGTTACTTTCAGACATGGCGATAATT